AGCTCCAAATAAGGTAGCTAAAAAGAGGTTTAAAATGAGTCTCTTCCTTGCAAATAAAATTCACTGTGTAATACAAACCTCATGTGGAAATTGAGACTCACACTGTATTCTGGGATTCATGCTTTCCTGAGAGAGCTGAGGAACACCAAGGATCTTGATCCTTGAGGAATAATCGTTTATACTGCCTGGAGTCCTACCTTTCTGTAGTGGCAATCATTTAGTTTGAAGCCTACATACAATATTCAAGACCATTTGATTTACTTAAATGATAACAGGTTTTTTTTTTAATTATTATAAGACATTTTCTATTCATTGTACATACCAATCACATATCCCCCTGATAATGGGATTTTTTTCCCCGACATTTCTGTCTCCCAACATGGGTAATAAACTTATATGCTATGTTTTCTTGGTTTGGGAATGTTCTGTCTTTCTAGTGTATCATTTGTCTCAAGATTTTTGATGCAGTATAATATATGATGCCTTTATGTTGCCGTAGTTTTAAACCATACATAGTTACAGGTAAAGGGTTTGTTCCCTGTTTGTCTTTAGCTGAAAAAATGGAGGCCAGTGCCCAGCTGAAAGAACTGGTGTCAGATTTATCATCTCAGCTTGTTGTCTCCCCTCCTGCTTTGAGAACCAGACGGAAAAATGTGTCCAGCACATCCAAGCTTCTAGATGAACTGGTAAGGAATGTAGATTGAAGTCATGATGTTGCCTCAGGTTCCTGAGTGCTGAGATTACAAATCTTTTTAAGGGAATTTCTCCTAAGTAAATTTGTTGAAAAGTAAATTGATTTAAAGATAGCATGTGAGCCAGAGAGACGGCTCATCAGGTAAGCGTCCTAGTTGTTCTTTCAGGGGACCTGGGTTCATTTCCCAGCTCACAACCTCTAACTCCAGTTCTAGGGGATCCAATGCTCTCTGGCTTCCTAGGGGACAAGACATGGATGTGGTACACATGTAGGCAAAATACTTGACACAAAATAAAAAAAAAAAATTTAAAGAAAGATAATTTGCACCTGGTGCTGGTGGTACCTGCCTTTAATCCCAGCACTTGGAAGGCAGAGGATGGTGGATCTCTGTGAGTTCGAGGGTACCCAGGGCTACACAGAAAAGCTGTCTTTTGGGGGGGGGGGCGGGCGGAAGAGATTTACATTTATATTAAGAGTACAAAACTCCGGGGCTGGAGAGATGGCTCAGAGGTTAAGAGCAGTGACTGCTCTTCCAGAGGTCCTGAGTTCAATTCCCAGCAACCACATGGTGGCTCACAACCATCTGTAATGAGA